TCTAACTGTTGATAGGCTTCATTCCTGGTTACAGACTCTCCCCGCGATCTAACTGTTGATAGGCTTCATTCCTGGTTACAGACTCTCCCCGCGATTGTTTGGAGAGATGTATGGTGGTATGTTGCAGGTTTCTGGCCGGGTCCCCAGCCTGTTTGTGAAGGATGTTGGGTATTTGGATGATGACTTACAAGACCTGTTTACTCAGTGGTGGATGAGAAAGCTAAAAACAAACAACGAAAAGCCCCCCCAAAACCAAAAGGCACCTAAGGATTTTAAGACCAAAGGATGTGAAAGAGACTGAATGAAATTTAATAATGATAGTGCTAGTTACCACTTTTTAAAAAATCACTATAAAGTTCAGCACTGGAGAAGAACTGGCTAAACTGCAGAAGAGACAGAAATGGGCATTTGAATTTTGTGAGATCAAGGGGGATTAGCTGTGTGTATTGTAGTTGTCTAAAAAGACTCAAGGCTCATGATTATAGATCCCCAAGGTCCAGAACAAGGGTGTGTATTTGCTGCTTCTACTGATTTCTGCAAATGGCCACGTTATGTTTGGAATGTTATACTCAGTTTTTACTGTGACATTGAAGTGTTTCATCTTGTGATATTTGGTACTTATAAAAGAATACATGTAAACATAAGAATATCTGAAAGCCTTATTCCCAGCTTAAAAACTAGAACATTCTGAAGACCACTCTGCTGAATTTTCCTCCCCTACCTCAGAGGCAGCATTATCCTGCATTTCTGTTGGTCATTTCCTTGCTTTTGCACAAAGCACTTCTGCCATGTTATGTGTGTATTTCTAAGCAATATGTATTTTCTGCTTGTTTTGAATCTTATTAAAATGGTATTATAGCGTATGTAGTAATACTTCAGTGCTTTTTTACATTCAGCATTGTTTCTGAGATTCAAATATATTGGGTTTCTTCAGCCAGAGAGCTTTATTTCTGCCACAAAACACAGAAGGTAATTTGAGTGGCTATTTTCTTAATTCTCTGAAGTGTAATAGGTAACTCCTTACATTTTAGTTGCCTAGGAGAAAAGTTACCTTATAATGAATGCTTTCTCCTGGCATTTAGAGCTTAATTCTCTATTGGAACCTAGTTGACAGAGTTTGAATTGTTACATGTAGCTATAGTTAATTCATTTTTACTATTGTAAAATATTCCATTTGGGAGCACACAGAAGTTTATTCATATATTCTCCTGTGGATGGAAATTTGGGTTGTTTCCAGTTTTGTTGTTTTGCTGTTGTGACCAGTGCCTTGGTGAATGTTCTTGTGCTTATCTCCAAGTGCTCATGAATAAATGTTTCTCTGGATGTACATCTGAGTGGAATTGCTGGGGACTGCCCGATTTTCATGGGAACATTGACAAACTGGAGTCCAGAGGAGGGCAATTAAGAACAGTTCAACCATATCGTGACCAACCTTTTATTTTTTTTAGGGATTGAAGAGGTTAATGACCATTTGCCAGAAGCACTTTCCTACAGATCCATCAAAATGTGTGGAATACAATGCTCTATGAGATCTGCGCATGGTGTGCAGACAATAGGAAGGAACTTAAGGAAGCAGAGTGTGGACTTGCGGAATTACCAACAGGAAGGAGGAAAGAGGAAAACAGAAGTTTCCAGCCTCTTTGAATTCTGGTACAACTTGATTGGTTTTAGGAACTTCGATGGCTTTCATATCACCTCTGATAATGAACTGATTCTGTGTTTTGCCTTCATTTTAAATAGTTGAAAAATTAAGTTCTGAAGACTTTTATTCATAATTTCAATGTGTAGAAAACAGAAAAGGGGGTTTAAAATGACCTTTTGCCCACTAGACTTGAAAGTTGTGGTTAGAGATTAAAAAGAAACATTTAAGGATGGACTTAATTGTTTTGGTAAAATATGTTATTTGCACATTGTCTTTTATGTTATATTTCTAAAAAATATTTTTATACATTTCAACAAAAATGTAGAACCATTGGATGAAACTGTGTCGTCCTTAAATGTTGCTGAAGTTTTGCTGTCATACAGTAGAATTTGAATATAAATGTCGTTAAAGTTAATTCAAAGCTTTTATCCTCTAAGAAGTAGAAATTTTAGTATTTGTCATCTTTCAGAAAGAATTAAGAGGAAATAAACGTTTGGAAATGTAAAGATGATATACCAACATAAATTCAAAACACAGTAACCCTAAGTTGAAGGTGGGACAGTGGGTCGTGAAGCCAGTGAGAGTGGGAGATCGCGAAGGTGCTGGTAGACGTGTGGCAGGCTGTGTTCCCCTCACACTCTGCCAGGCAGAGGAGGGAGGTGCCCGTAGTGATGCCACCCCCGAGACAGGATGTCTTGGTCTTCCACAAAGTGAGGACTTGTTCTAATTTTGCACAGTGTCATACCTAGATCACTGTGACGGATCACTGTGCTTTAGAAATTGAGAAGACTCAGTTAATAGAGCAAGGTGGGAAAATAGGTGGTTACCTGACCAGGTGGACGTGACAGTTACTGGACAGTGATGAGAGTGGGGGTTCGAAAGGCAGAATGTCCCAGCTGCACATTTCAGCTCTCTGCCTGCCAACTGTGTGACCTTGGGTAAGTAACCTAATCTTTCTAAGCCTCAGATTTGTCATCATAAAATAGGAGTTAATAATGATACTCATTCCTTATAGCTTTATTGTTGTGTAAATAAAATTCAGAATATCCGAAAGATTTCCATACATACATAGGGAAAATGGAAAATTGTAGCTAAATGTACCTTTACTTATAAAATATTCATTATAAAAATTTGCGTATTACTGTGTTGATAAATATAAAAACTATAGAATGTAATGTAAATATGAGTTTGTTAATTTCTCCTATGTATGACAGGCAACCTTTGGATACCTGTAGAATGCTTAGCACACTGCCTGGCAAATATTAAGAGCTTAGTATGTATGAGTTCTTGTGTCACTGTCATTAGAGACCTGTGGTTAGGGGCAGTGGGAACTCACATGCCTCTGACAATAATAAGGATGGTATTAGCAGCAGCAGTAAGTGTTGGGGGTCGGAGATCGTGCTTTCCTGAATCCAGTTGACCTGGTTCAATTAATTGGCAGAGCTAAAATTTAAACCAAGACACAGTGGTAATTGACAGTAAAAATGAGTGGAAACTGAGAATAAAACTGGAGCAGCACAGGCAGCGTGAACAAGAGAGCAAAGTCTCTTGCACCAGTTTCAGTGTAACAAAGAGAAATTTTATTTAGGAAGAACAAAGAGAAAGTGTACAGCACTTCCAAAGAGTTGGAAGTGGCTCCCTCATGGAGAAGAAGAGGTGAGTGAGGAGAGGCACAGGCCTGCAGAGTGTAAATACCCTCTGTTTGAAACTGGCTGCAAGTCTGTCATTGGCCTCTCTGAGCCTCCAGCAGTAGTGCCCTATCCTAGTGGTCATTGGTTACCTAGGTTGCTTCACACCCACATCCTTATGGGCCCTCCAGACTTCCTGGTTCAGAGGGCCAGGTTTTCCAACCACTGCCCCTTGAAGCCCCTTTCTTTGTGTCCCTTTTCGGTAATAATGGAAACACTAATTATACATTTACTTTATCCGGACCGTGTGGCCAACTCCACTTTGAGCCAGTTCTGAGTGTAGAAGGTCTGAGGATAAGGTGGGGAGCTAGAGGACGCTGAGCGTGTGGGTGTAGAATCACACTTTTTTATTCCAGCCTATCTGGAAGATTCAAAACCAGTTTTGGCTACTGTGTTCTTTGCTCTGCGTAGACGCAGCCATATCTGCTGGTTACTTGCATGGTGAATTGCATCAGGTTTCTCTGCCCTCCACCTCTAAATTTGGAAATACTCTCTTACAATTATTTGGCACTTAGGGAAACTTAACAGCACAAACGAGAGACATCTTTTCATAAGGTAACTATGTTATGTAGACTTTGATCATCTGGTCTTATGTTGGACTTGCTTATGAATGTTGTGGATTGAATGCTCCCCAAATGACCTTTTCCTTACAGTCAGGCCACAGCATGGCAGGCAGTCAATTTCTTGTAGTCCTCCCTTTTGCTGTTAGTTAACATTCCATGTAAAGAAAAAGGTGGATCATGTGACACCAGTACCTCCTAATATTGATCAGTATAGTTAGAGGGCTTGATAAAAAAGAACGTTTTCTGCAAGGCTGTGGCTGTTGACTATTTGGGGCTGGCATGGAGGGAAGCAGGTTCAGACATGTGGATCCCCTCAGAGAAAGTTTCCCATTTTTCTGAAATTAAAGATCTTCAGATGGTTGCAGATATCATGAGACTATGCAGAAAAGGAACTTCTCCCATTCTCTGATTGTGAAAATTTCAGTTCAGCAGAAACTACTCCATATTTCTGGTTTTAGCTGTTTATAAAACAGTAAAGACATATCTTTTGAAATCAATCACAGTCCTGGAAGAACTGTATTTCTCTCTGCCTCCCCAGACTCCTGTCCATAGGAGGTGTGCCTTTCTGGATTCAAATTTAGTAAAACACTGGTTTTCCTTCAGAAGTAAATAGTGCATTTTCTAGAGTGTCATTGCCAACTGCAAAGATGGAGCAGTAGTTTTCCGTGTTGCAGCACAGAGCCTGCGGCAATCTGGAAGTCACGGCTGTGATTTCAGCCTTTGGGGAGAAATTAAGAAAATAAAGCTGAGGCCAAAGATAATTGACACACAGGCAGAAACAGAGGACTGTCTGGATCTTGCAGGATGAAGGAAAGGGTCCTGAGAGACCAGAGCCAGGCAGGCAGCTGTCACTAATGGCAGAACTTGATGATTTGTGGTGGGCTCTGACGCCCAGAGAGAATTTGGAGGACTAGGAAACAGGATTGATAGCAGTATGGCTTTTAATGCTAAGCTCTTCCTTCTGGCAATTTCCTGACCTACTCTAACACTTCAGAGCACCCTAGGGTTTGATCTCAGTAAATAATTTAGAAGTGCAACCATCTACATTGGAAAGAAAGTAATCATTTATTTCGAAAGTAAGCAGCTTGGAAAAGACTAAGAACAGTGTTTCAGAATTTTTGGTAGATTTGAATGTGAGGACTCATATCACTGGCTCCTTTCTCCCATACGGTTCTGTCTCCACCCACCACCCACTTGGGCTTCTTAACATAGAGGGCCAGCGGAGCTCAGTGGGCAGTTTCAAGGAAAATTGAGATGCTACCATTTCCTTTGTCTGAATATTTCAAAAAGCAGTAACAGTGGGTTGTGTCTCCTCCCTCCCAGTGTATTCCCATGAAGCCTCCGAAAGAATAACTTTATCCCATAGAAATTGATAGTATGTTATCATATGGGGAGTCTTGAGCTGAAAAGCACTTTCTCACGGCATCTTGATATAAAAGCTTCCAGCTATAGAGGGTGCAGAAGTGCCTGTGCTGGTCCCCAGGGTGTCGCTGTGGGAACACTGTTATGACAACTGGTTTTCATCACAGGCTGTAGTGCTGTTGGCTGTATAATAACTACATACTAGTCCTTTAACGATTAATAGTGACCTTAACATGTTTTGAAATTTAAAAATGAGTTATGGTGGAGTAACCAGGGGAATGCTATATTGCTAGTAGGATGGCTGATCCCATTGAAGATTTTGGAACCATGATCGCTATAATCGGGATTTTTTTACGTTTGCTGAAACAGTTTATTGTGAAAGCATTGCTGTGTATTTGTTTCCTCCCATTGCAGACTCTCGTTACCTTATACAACTTGCTTAACTAATCCTTGTGTTGCCAACAGCGGTTACACTAAGTAGACCACTTTCTATTCAATTTCTTCTTCCCAGTGCTTAAGCACCAGCTCTCTGAACTCTTCCTCCCAGCATTCAAGTTTAACACGTCCGTTCACCATGGAGAGCAGCTAGGAAGTTTTGAGGAGTTTGTGAGTGTTATGGGTGATCTCAGATCTTTCCTGAGCTTCCGGCTCGCCGTGGCAGGCGCGTGGTTCCCACAGTCTGCTCTCTGGGCCTCTGTCAGCTCACACCTTGCCAAGACCACAATTACCTTTGCTCTCACACTGCTGCTCTTCCTTTCAGACTTAGGGGATGTTATGACGTGGCGGTGTTGCAGTTTGAGCCTGACTTTCTTGAATTTCTGCTACCCAGGGAAGTAGGATAGTTAAATCCATAGAGTTTGAAACTATTGAACCAGAATTCACAGCACACTAATAAGTGCTCAGAGACGCAGTGTTACATACCCACGAGTACAGCTGGAATGATGGCACTGGCCATGCTGTTCAAGAGGCATTCTTAGGGTGGGTTTCTTTTAAAAATATACTGATTATTATCCTCTAAATTGGTTTAGAACCCATTAATGCATGGTGATCAGCTGTTTGAAAAAACTGATTAAAAGGAATTATCAGAGTTAAGGAAGTGACCTGTTACATGAATTCAAGGCAAATGGACTATATCTAATTTTTTTCTTTGTTTGAGACAGAGTGTCCCTCTGTCACCTGGGTAGAGTGCTATGACATCATTGTTAACAGCAACTCAAACTCTTGGGCTCAAGCCATTCTCTTACCTCGGCCTCCCGAGTAGCTGGGACTACAGGTGCCTGCCATAACACCAAGCTAGTTTTTCTATTCTTAGTAGAGACAAGGTCTCTCTCTCTAAGGTCCGGCTGTTCTCAAACTCATGAGCTCAAGGCTCCTCTCACTTTTCGCCTCCCAGAGTGCTGGGATTACTGGCGTGAGCCACCACACCTGGCTTTTTGTTATTTTGTTTTATTTTTTTTGTAGAGACAGAATCTCACTTTATCGCCCTCGATAGCATGC